GTTCTGAGGATGAAGGCTCTTCTCCATTCTCTCATTTTCCTGGAAGGTTGGGCACAAGTGTTTCCACTGAGCTGAAGGCAGTTTGATGGAGGGATCATGGCTTGTGATGCTTTACATGCCCAACTTTCATCTCCAATAAACAGATTTTGCAGGTTTGACTAGTGGCTGCATCATGCATGGGGGGGAAAGGAGTGCGTGTGTTCCCTGTACGAAGTAAAACTTGTTCCAAACCACTTTCAACTCTCTTTAAAAAGAACTTTCATGTGCCTCCAACTGAACTGTCTTGTGCTACATCCCATCCCTACTGTGGAATTCCAGATCCATTAATGGGAACTGCAAGGCAGCAGCCAAGAAGCAGGAAGTATATAACTGCCTGTCTCAGTGGTGGTGACTTTAATGGCCTTTCCTGAGCCAAACTGGATCCATTTCCCAGTGCATATTGGCAACAGCTGTTGGCATTGAAGCACAAGGCCTTTAGATCCGGTCCTGTAAATTCAGAGCAACAACGCAGCACACACACACCCATTAAAATCTCTATCTACTTTATTTACTTTGTTTGTAGACAAAGGAGGGGAAAGGGAGGACCGGAAGGAAACCTGGTTCTTCAACAGCTGAAAGTTCTTCTCAATCTCCCATTTTGCTTTTTGGCTTGCCCCACTCTGAGGGGGAATCAGGGGCAGAGCTACCTGCCAGGGTACCTGGAGCGGCACAGAGGCGGGGCTAGCCAGCCCACAGCAAGCATCCCTAGCCACCCGCCACCCACGTGGTGAGCATGGGGGGAGGCGCTGCTAGCCGCCCGCATGGTGAGCTTCCCTAGGCATCTGCCGCCCACACGGTGAGCATGGGGGGGTCCTAGTCTCCCACTGCAGCATCATCCCTAGCAGCCCACTGCCCGCATGAGCATCCGGGGGCACCACCTGTGCGGCGATGTCACCCGCCCTCATGGCTGACACCCAGTGTGCACCGCACCCCCTGCACCCGCCATCCTCCGCCAGTGGGGGGGATAAGTCAGCTGATGAAGCTTTTTCCAAAAAAGAATGCTATTATGAAAATAAAACAAAACTTGAAAAAGCTACTCACTCTAGACCAGCCTTTCTCAACCTTGAGATCCCATATGTTGTTCGACTACCACTCCCATCATCCCTGATTGCTGCCCTTGCTGGCTGTATGGCTGTACATAATGGGAACTGTAGTCCAGCACCATCTGGGAACCCAAGGTTGAGAAAGGCTGATCCAGACCCACAGTGACAATATTCACTTGCTTTGTGGAAGGAAAGTAGACTGATTCTCTTCATTGCAGTGGGAATATTCATTTCAGTGTATGAAGGTATCATCTACTGCAATAAATTCCCTTTTGAAACAATGGAACCATCCAAAAACAGGGTCCCTGTCCAAAATAATGGAAGCTGCAAGGACCAGTTGACATGACTAGGCTCCATTGAAATAAACACAAAGAACAAATAAGGCAAAGAATGGTGTCTGATAGGCAATTGAGTTGGTGACACAGATAGACCAAATAGGGATGAATGATGGGGAATAGTAGTAATGGGGTGTTCATCTTTTATGGAGTATCATCCAGCCATTGCATCCTGTATTTTCCTTATGCTGGTTCTGTCTTTTCTCATGAAGAAAGGCTTTTTATTTTTTTAATAGCGGGAGAATAGTTTAATCTCCAGTGACATAGATGCTTTTAGTATTACTCTTCCAACATTTTAAATGGGCCCTGACATATTGGGAAAGTGGACCTATCACAGCATACATTAATTGTAATATTTGTGGTGGGTTCCTGTGAACTACAAGTTTGCACCCTGCAAGAAGACACTTGCTGCACTCAGAAAGGCAAAGAGTGATGCTCAGTGGATTGCCAGACAATGTGCCCATGACTACTGACTAAAGCTGTGTCAGAGCACCCAACTCGCTGCTGACACCAGCAAAACAAAATGTATGAAAGCACGAAGAAAGCCTTTGGACCAACAGTTGGTAAAATTGCACTGCTGAAAAACTTTTCTGGAGAGATCATCACAGACCTCAGCAAGAAGATGAAGCAATGTGCAGAGCACTATCAAGAATGGTACTTGCAGGGAAACATGGTAACTGACACAGCAGTCAAGAGTATCCAGACTCTGTCTTGGAAGAAATAGAGGTCTCTCCCCCCAATGAGCTGAAAAATGCCATCTATGCTCAGGCCCAGGACAGGAGGGAATCCAAAGAGAAGTGCTGGAAGCCGGTTTCAATTCCTCCTCATGACACACCTCCACAGGCTCCTCTTGCAGCGCTGGGAACAAGATTCCCTGCCACAAAACATGCATCATGACACTCTACAGCAGGGGTAGGCAACCTAAGGCCCGGGGGCCGGATCTGGCCCAATCGCCTTCTCAATCCGGCCCACGGATGGTCCGGGAATCAGCGCGCTTTTACATGAGTAGAATGTGTCCTTTTATTTAAAATGCATCTCTGGGTTATTTGTGGGGCATAGGAATTTGTTCATATTTTTTTCAAAATATAGTCTGGCCCACCACATGGTCTGCGGGACGGTGGACCGGCCCAGGGCTGAAAAAGGTTGCTGACCCCTGCTCTACATGAACAAAGGTGACTGGCATGACTGTAACAACATGGAATCTTGTTGCTGAGTACTGTGGGAAACGTCTTTGCTCACAGTTCTCAACAGATTACAGTTACTCGCTCACTGGGTCCATCTTGAGTTACAATGCGGCTTTAGAGCTTAGAGGTCAACAGTCAATGTGATTTTCTCACTGTGTCAGCTGCAGGAGAAATGCTGAGAGCTGAGACACCCGTGTATATTGCCTTAATAGACCTGATGAAGGCCTTTGACATTGTCAGCTGGAAAGGACGTCACACTGCTCAACTAGATAATCTCCACAATCTGATCATGTTCTTGCACGAGAACATCCAGTATGACAGTTCATTCTCAGACACCTTCTCCCTGTTGCTGTCCTATGCCTTCAGTGCATCTGAAGATGGTGTGTATCTGGGGTCTGTTCAACCTGGCATGTCTCCATGCCAAGACAAAAGTGTGCTGGGTCTGAGAAATGCTGTTTGCAGATAACGCAGTCTTGACAGTACACTAAAGGAAGCTCTGCAGAAACTCATCAACTCTTTTGCTCAAGTCTGCAGGGAGTTCAGCCTTACCATCAGCCTGACAAAGACCAACATCATTGGTCAGGATATCGCTGGCACTCCATGCATTGGTGCCCACACACTTGAAGTGGTGGACAATTTTTTCTGCCTGGGTTCAACCATAGCCAGCAATGATGCTGAGCTGGACAAGCCTATTGGTAAGGCAGCTATGACAATGGCTCACCTATCCAAAAGGGTTTGGGGGAATGTGGTGCCATTTATGCCAATCCATATTGAAGGTCTACCAGGCTTGTATGTTGAGTACGCTGCCTTATGAAAGTGAGCTGTGGGCAACTTACACTCCCCAGGAGTGATGCCTCAATTCCTTCCACATGAGCTGTGTCAGGAAGATTTTAGGCATCACATGGCAGAAGAGTGTTGACCAAAGATGTGCTCTTCCAAGTCCACATTCCCAGCTGGCAACATCAACCCTCTTAGTGTGCGAATCCCTTGCAGACAACTGGACTGCAGTGCCTGGAGACAGTCTGGTCATGCAACCATAGCAGTGATCAGAGGAGGAATGAACACTGGGAGGAGCACAGAGAAAAGAAACACAGAGGTGCATCTGCAGCAGCACAACCGGATGCCTTCATCTGCACCCACTGCAGGAAACCATGTCTCTACAGCCACAGCAGACACTGTGACTCTCCAACAGTTTGACTTCACTCCCCAGGGAACACTCCTGGATGCCTACTTATGCTGATATTTTAATTATTGCTAAAGTGCTTTCATGAAAGGAAAGTGGGTACTATGGCACCATAATGCCCTTACAATAGACAGTCCCATAACTTGCAACATGACACACCATCTTCTCCTCACCTGAGCACAACCATTTTGTTTCTGTCATTGTCCCAATGACAAACCAAAGATTCCTCTTTCCACCAGTTGTCACATGCTGAGGGTGTTATGTATGCATGCAATGCAGGCCTGGGCCTTCCGGCCTCCTGGAGCTCAGGAGCTTCATCTGCATAACAAAAGAGGGAGAGGATTCTAAAACCCTCCAATGACATTGTTAGTAGCTGGCAGGCTGCTGCTGAGATGGAGCCAGTGTTGTGGTTTGCTAATTGCAGCATTAAGGCGACCTATCACAGCTGGTGTTTGTGTTTTGCCAAGTACCCCTTTTGTCATTCTTGTCCTTCTTGTTCCTGATGTTCCAATAAATCCTTTTTGAGCTGAATCTTGGTCTTGGGTCATGCCTGAACCCACCTACACCTCAGAGGGAATAACTGAATTTCAATAACCATATTTGAAGAAGCTATTATTTCAGTAAATGAGACAAATTACCTCAAGGTCTGTAATCAGAGTGTACACGTTCATCTGATTTAAAACAACAATGTAGAGGTCTTGCACAAGAGCACTTTATCATAATCTCAGTATTTCATTGTTGCTGTGGGGTTTTTTTGGCCAGGGAAATGTGTGGTTGTCACAGCAGTTATAGAAACCTCCAGGGTCACCCACACTCATCAAATCAAAGACCAGATTGATATAGCTAAGTATCCCTCTTTCACAAGACCATTAAAAATAATTTTAAAAATGGAAATGGATATTGCCCTACCACCAAAAGCACAAGTTGTTGTTGCTGCTGCTAAATAACATATTGTTGCTACCCTAGTTTCTGAAACCATGGTCCCAGACCTCCCCTATTCATAAACAAACTCTGCCCTTTTGACTCACAAGTGAAAATAACTATTGGGATAGGTTTTTCCCAAATATTTCCTTCTGTACAGAAGGAAATATTTGGGATCATTAAGAGTCAAGATCAGGATTGCTCCCCTGTACTATTTCAGTCATGCGGTTTATGTACTTATAGGTCTGTTTACCTTGTGCACTTCTGAACATTTGTTTTATTTATGACACCTTAGAATTCTTACAAGTGCCTTTCTTCTAATAGCATGGAGCCTCAGTACCTGGTGGTGGTGGTGCTGAGTCTGGCCAGGCCAGGCCTGTCAGGTGTCGAACCACTGACGGGGCCAAAGTGCACCTACACCTTCATCTTGCCACAGCAGAAGTTCACGGGGGCCGTGTGCTGGAGCAGCGTGCGCCTTCCCCCAGAGCCTCCGGGCCTCAATCGCTCTGAGGTGGCCGAGCTGCGTGATCAGCTGCACCACCAGCAGGCCCAGATGGAGGAGCTGCGCCGACTAGTGGAGGTGGACGGGGCCGTGGTGAGTGAAGTCAAGGCCCTGCGCAAGGAAAGCCGCAACATCAATGCTCGTGTCACCCAGCTGTACACTCAGCTGCTTCATGAGATCCTCCAGCGACGAGAGCGGCCAGTGCAGACCTCACAGCTTGAAGGGAGGGTGGCCAACGCCTCTGCCGAGGCCTTGCGCGTGGCGGCCAGTTATCGCCAGCTGGAAGGGAAGTACCATGCCCTGGCTGCCCTGGTCAACAACCAGAGTGCCCTCATCAGCCAACTGGAGAGAGACTGCCAGCAAGGAGCCAGTGGCCGGGGGAGCCCACAGGTACTGCTCAAACTGAACTGGGAGACAGAAATGGGAGAAATTAAAAGGGTCGCTAGAGCCAGTCATCTGGTGCTACTTGGCCTGCTGTGCCTGAAATCATAAATAAGGAAGGGCCAGGGCAGACTTCAGCGATGGTGGAGTCCTGATACCTGGTGCTGATGCTGACCCTGGGAAAAGGGAAGGGATGTGACAACAGCAATGCCAGGAAGACAGGAGCTGATGTTTTCTAAACCATAGCTAGGCCCCAAGCTACACTCTCCCTCCAGAATGCTGTGTCCTCTAATCCTAGGTGTACATGGTCTAGTACTTTTGCTGAGTGTGCCGCTTCAAATTGTATGTTCAAACTCACATGGCAGAATGCTGCTGTAGCCATAATAGTAATAATAACAATAATAATAATTAATAACAAATCAATGTACAAAACAAGCATGTTAGGGAAAAGATTTCCAGCATAGCTTCTTCCCATACATGCTAAGTTTCCATGTTTGTTTTTGAATGGAGGAGTATTCCGGCATGTGAGTCCCATCTGCAGCCTGAAGGCAAGGAGCGCTAAGCAACCTTTGACTCTCCAGTTGTTGCTGGACTCCAACTCCCATGAATCTCAGAATGGCCAGTGGTCATGGGAGTTATAGTCCAACACCTGCAGTACTACAAGTTCCCATCCCTAATTTACTGAAAAATGGAAGTATTTGATTGATGCTCAGAGCCAATCTCTTTTTGCCCCATGACTGCTCCCTGTTCAAAAAGGTTTCTGAGCCTGAGCCCTGGTTCAAATTAAACCCTGCATAGAAAAACGCTATGGTGGCCCTCCCACACAACCTGATTTTTCAGCAGCTTATTGGAGGTAAAGTTTCCCCCACTTTATTTCTATGTCTGCAAATGGTTGCTCCATTTCTACATGTCCAGCAACTGTTGACAGCACAAGAGCCCGGATAGAAAAAGGACGTTAATCCTTTTTACTAATTCCCTCTTTACAACCTTTTCCAACGTGGGCAATGAACACTGGGAGAACCCTTTTTGTGTCGCTGCTATTTGCCCATCTCCCCCCTCACTTGCCCACGACCACTTCAGTCTATGGAATTTTCATTCTGCCCTTACAAGGCATCCGTCTTTTAACGTGGCAGCATTGCTCATGCTGCAAAACTCTCTGCCTGTTAACAACAAGCAGGCACCATCACTGCAATGCTTCCGATTGCCTGATAGAAATGGCTTTCCTTTTGGTAGGCCGACCAAGACTTCTATTATGTACTTTTATTATGTATGTTTTTAAAAATTCTTTAGATTTTGTCTATATTTTTATAATTTTGTTATATCTACTTGTTTTTAAAGTTTGCTGATTTCATCAGCATTTTTGATAAATATTTTAGTTAACCTCAGCTGTCGAAATTTTCTTGATTAAAAATAGGATTAAGTGGTCTATAAATGTTGTTGATTTTAAAAAATGGCTCTAGTGGAGTTAGGACAAAATACAGTCGGTCCTAGTCTAGCTTTTGGGTTTCCTGGAAGCATATTTATCACACTTAGAACTGCCACCTTATTTTCTGGTTGTGCTCCTGTGCCTTTTAGAGCCACTTGAACGTGCTCTAAATCCCCTGCTGCCCTTGAACTAAATGATGCTACACTCCAACTATACTCTTTTAGTTCTCCTATATTTTTAGGGTGAGTTATTTCTCCTTTCTCTCCACAGCCCCCCCTGGTGCCAGTGGTGCCTCACAACCCTGCAAGCATCGCCAATGAGAGCAGGGTCCATTTTGATGCCGTCAATGACATCCAGCGAGACCGGCCACACAAGGCGGCAGTGCCACAGGGCGGCACTCTTCAGCCGCCTGCTGTCGTGCCCACCAAATCCACAGGTCAGAAAGAGAGAGCAGGTCTATGAGGAAGCAGCAGGGCAGAGGCTGTGCAGGGCAAATGCCAACAGCACCAACCTCTGCCGCCATGAAGCCTAGTTCTCATACCAATGAGATGGTAAAACCACTCCTGTGGATAGTGGATTAACGTTCCTCTCTATAAGAGCTCCCTGCACAGAGAACCCAAGAGGTCAGGCAGACACGTTTTTGCCAGCTTTCTCTCTATTATGCTACTTTTGTACCTGCAGGGGCTGTAGGTCTAATGTCTCCCCAAAACTCAAATGGCAAGTGCATCTGTTTATCTGACCCCCCCAAATATCTTTGGAGTGTTAGCATCCCAAATTTTGCTGGCATTACCTTCTTAAAACAGGCAAGCGACTGCCAGCTACCACTGTGATTATTCCATTGCTATCTGCTGTCCCTGATAAAACATTTAACTGATCATCCTGGGCTCTTAGCAAACCATCAACCTAACAATTACTCAGTTGATGGTTATTCAGATGGTCTAACATCTGAAACAAATCCAAAGTACCTATTTTCCTTTGGGAAATGTGACAAGCTATACACTCCATGATAGGGTAGCCTGTGAATGGTATCTCATTTCTCCGCTTTCCTCCCATTTATGTCATGGGGACCTCCTGCTCCTTCCCTGAGGCATCTGCAGCCAAGAGCCAAGAAGGACTGGTGTGGCATACACAAGCAAAACCACCGCCTTCTTAATTTGGGATCCTCCAGTCCCCTGGCCTAGTACTGACATTTGAGTGAACTTCAAGGAGCAATTGCTAGTGGAGGGCCACTGATTTATTGTCATAAATTTGCATACTGAAGGAATGATCGCATAGCTGATTACCGTTGTCCTTTACTTCTCTACGCAGATGATGCGGTACTACTCTCTTACTCTAGAGTGGGTTTAAGGAGGGCATTAAAGATTTTTGCGACATATTGCCATTCTAATCATCTGTCTATCAACCACACCAAGTCTAAAGTACTGATATTTTCAAGGAGTCGAAAACTTTATTCTTGGAAGCTGGAGGGCACGAAAATCGAACAAGTACATAAATTCAAATACTTAGGAATTTATTTTCAATATAATTTAGGGTGGAAAGCGCACATTGAATATCTTCAAAACAAGACAAAAGCCCTATCACACTCCCTCCTCCGTTTTTTCTACTCTGAGGGGGCCTTATTCATCCCTGCGGCCTTGAAAGTGTATAGCATCAAAGTGATGGCCACAATGGCCTATGCTGCTCCTTTATGGGCTGCCTTTGCAAACCTCTCACCTTTAGAGACACTTCAAAGCCAATTCTTACGCCGACTTTTAAAATTACCAACATGCGTAAGTAATGCGGCCATTCGCTTAGAAATGAAGATCCCCTCAGTGGAGTTAGTCATATGGAGGAGAGTTTTGATCTATTGGATATCCCTATGGCATAAACTCCCGAACCACTATCTAATTCAATGCATGTGGCGGGATGACTTCACAAATTTGTGGTCAGGAAAAATCCATGCCAAATTGCTGTCCTATGAGATCTCGCCCACTGAATTGCTCAAACTGGATCTAAATGTGGCAAAAAGGTGTATAAATCAAAGGCTGGATGATGCGGAGCTATACCAAAATTTCGTAGCTGGTGGTGGAGCCTGCTCGCCGTTAAATTTCGGCATAACCCCTATCTACCGCGCTCCGTCCTACTTAACATCGCTTATGGCTGAGTCTCACCGTTATGCCTTCATTAGAGCTAGGTTCAATGTTTTTCCAACAAACGTGCTGAGACATAGATTCACTAAGGGCCAAGTCCCTTCAATGTGTGCTTGTGAAATGAAAACATCTGAATCTCTACATCATGTTATGTTTATCTGCCCTTTGTACAGTTCAGCCCGTGCTAGTATTCTAAACCCCATAATCCAGCCTATGGCTGACAAACCAGTAGACCTACAGCTTGCCTGGGTACTTCAAGATGTGGATCCTTATATTACCCTACAGGCTGCTAAATTCCTAACAGCCGTCCTCTCGTACAAGAGATGGAATGGAATGTTAGCTGATTATTGATAGTCACAAGAATTTTTTATAATGACATCAGATATTGTTTTTAGTGTAGTGCCAAATTTTTTTAATCTTAATCTTAAACTTTTTTATGAATGGCTAATATCCGTCCTTGTGAGTTGTGAACTGTGTTATACTACTTGTGGTTTGTATGAGTCCGCTGTTTTATTTGATTTGTTTTGTTGTGTTGTGCTTCATGATGGGCGTAATAGCCGAATAAACATTTGTTGTTGTTGAAGGACTGGTGTGGCATACACAAGCAAAACCACCGCCTTCTTAATTTGGGATCCTCCAGTCCCCTGGCCTAGTACTGACATTTGAGTGAACTTCAAGGAGCAATTGCTAGTGGAGGGCCACTGATTTATTGTCATAAATTTGCATACTGAAGGAATGATCGCTGGGTGTGGAGCACATTTCCGCCCGCAGTCAAACCACAGCTGTCTGAACATCATGCCCTCTATCTAACCTTTTGCTCTCTTAGTAGTCTGCCATGCCCTGTCTGTGACCTTTGTCTCTTTCGATTAAACATTGTGCAAGGGGAAAGTGACGCGGTGGAAACAGGTGCCAGAATAACCTGTACCACCCTTCGATCTCAGGACTGGAAGATGTGTAAAGGTCACCGTCCAAAATGTATCTGTCTGGTTTTGCATATTGTGCCAATAAAAGGAGCTTCGGCAGAGCTAGCTGGCAGCTTGCCTGTGCACAGGTCACCTGCATCCAGCCTCCTGTCATCCTCCGTTATTCCTACACATACCATTAGCTACTGCAAGCCAGATAGACAGAGGCAGTTGTATCTCTTACTGGTGGGCAAAACCAAAAGGTATGTATATCACAGTATGCCTGCCCCTGGGTCTGACCTTCCTATGGCCTGTGGCCGACTAATGCTGGAGGCACAAATCTGTTGGGACTTGTGGTGTGCATTTAAATAACTGGGACCTGCATAGGAGCCCTGCAATGCTCTCATGTACACTTACTAAATGAAGCGCCTGAGATTCTACTAATATATCTTCTACTAATATATAATAAGGGACGCGGGTGGCGCTGTGGGTAAAAGCCTCAGTGCCTAGGGCTTGCCGATCGAAAGGTCGGCGGTTCGAATCCCCGCGGCGGGGTGCGCTCCCACTGCTCGGTCCCAGCGCCTGCCAACCTAGCAGTTCGAAAGCACCCCCGGGTGCAAGTAGATAAATAGGGACCGCTTACTAGCGGGAAGGTAAACGGCGTTTCCGTGTGCGGCTCTGGCTTGCCAGAGCAGCGATGTCACGCTGGCCACGTGACCCGGAAGTGTCTCCGGACAGCGCTGGCCCCCGGCCTCTTGAGTGAGATGGGCGCACAACCCTAGAGTCTGTCAAGACTGGCCCGTACGGGCAGGGGTACCTTTACCTTTACCTTAATATATAATAATATACCTCAGGTAAGCTCATGAAGAAAGCTTTTATTTTCCCACTGGTGTTTGGAAGACCCCTGAGGCATTTGCCTGATGAAGAATTCCATGAAACTCAAAAGCTTGCACAGCCCTTCACCAACCCAAATTTGGCCAATAAAATGTGCATTCCCCTGCTTTGTTTCTCTTATCCTTTATGAAATGTTTTATGTTACAATAAACATGTGAGGTAGATTAGCTCTGACAGAGAGTGCTTCTAAATAGGAGCTCAGTGTTGTGATATCACAAATGGATTTCTGGCAATAGGTTTTTCCTTTTCCTTTTTACATATGGGGTGGCATTTTTATGCCAACACTGTTGTGTGGACACTGGAAAAAAAACTTGCATGCAGGAGAAGCACAGATCCCATCTGGAAATACCCAAAAAGGCCATCCAGGTGAGACAGGGCATCACCCTATCTGTGCTACAGAACTCAATGATAACCTCCAAACTAGTCCCTGTAATTAGCTGCCCCTACTTTGTTCATCACGGGTGAACATGCGGGTGGTGCTGTGGTCTAAACCACTGAGCCTAGGGCTTGCCGATCAGAAGGACGGCGGTTCGAATCCCTGCAATGGGATGAGCTCCCGTTGCTCGGTCCCTGCTCCTGCCAACCTAGCAGTTCAAAAGCATGTCAAAGTGCAAGTAAATAAATAGGTGCCGCTCTGGCGGGAAGGTAAACGGCGTTTCTGTGCACTGCTCTGGTTCGCCAGAAGCAGCTTAGTCATGCTGGCCACATGACCTGGAAGCTGTACGCTGGCTCCCTCGGCCAATAACGCGAGATGAGTGCCGCAACCTCAGAGTCATTTGCGACTGGACCTAATGGTCAGCGGTCCCTTTACCTTTATCTTGTTCATCACACAGTGTTATTCGGTCCCTGTTCATTAGTTTTTCTCTTCCTGGCACAGGGCCATGGCGTGACTGTCAAGCAGCTCAACAGAATGGGCAGACCAGTGGCATCACCATGCTACAACCAACTGGTGCCCGGGGAATCATCCAGACCTGGTGTGACCAGGAGTATGATGGGGGTGGTTGGACTGTCATCCAGCGGCGGCAGGATGGGTCGGTCAACTTCTTTATCACCTGGCAGCACTACAAGGTGTGTTGAGGATGTGGCTCCAGGTGCCACATGAAGGGGGAGAGCAAGGAGATGAAGGGGTCCAAGCTTGTGAGGAAAGCTGGGCAGGGGAAAAAGGTGGACCTATGGGATGCTTGGGGTTAGAGTCAGAGATCTGGAGGCTCATGGTGGAGCTGGGACTTATAGGCTGAAATCAGAGTCACAGGTGACAGGTGATACCAGAGGCCAGGTTCAGATATACTGCTCTTTCATGGGTATTCAGCCTTCAGTTTAGTTGCCCCAAGTTGAATTTGTAGGAAATACTTGGGGACAGGAATTCCTGCTATGCAAAAGGTTTGCAGCAGCACACCTATGAATCTGGTCTTGACACAAAGCAAGGGTTACTCTGCCACCTGCTGTGCTATGCCCACTTAGTCAGGTGGGGGCAAAAACACATTAAGTAATGGACTGAAAACATGAGCTAAGGCCCAAATAGATGTGATAATGAGGGCAGCCATGTTTGTTCAGTCACATGGCAATCCCATTCTTGCAGTGTGTGTGTGTGTGTGTGTGTGTGTCTAGTCTTAAGATAAAAATATGTGATCTTTCGGGGACCTGCTGGCAAGTGGACCATAGAATGCTCTTATCAGGAGACCTCTGTATTAAGGGGTGAAAGCTTCCTAGATTTTTCTCAGGTTTCCTTCTCTCTTTTTCCATTACTCCAGAGGTATGGGTTGAATCTGGCTCCATCATGGAGCCTCAGTTGTCTCCTGGTCTCCAGTAGCAGAGTCAGAGCCCTGCACAGGATCTCGTTCCTTAGCAGGAGACTCTGCAGCCTCTGACTCTCATGTCTTGCTTCTGGACTAGGGTCATTACCACACATGGCAACTGACTTTGGGCATTGAGCTAGCATGGTGTATGTATGCTTTGCTGATTTCCTGCTGCAAAAGGATCCCACATATCTCTGCAAGAGAGTTAAGGCCCCAAAGTGGTCTGGGAAGGAAGTAGGAGTATTAGCTCACTCTTCTACCCTATGGCTAGCACCAACTGTTCCCCTACAGGCAGTGCCCACCTGCTAACATCTTACTTGCTGTGTTTCCCCCTGCCCTGCTCCACCTTCAGAATGGTTTTGGGAACTTGGAAGGAGAACACTGGCTGGGTCTCGAGTTCATTCACTGGCTGACTCGCCAGGGCTCGTATGTGCTGAGGGTTACCATGGAAGACTGGAGTGGGCGACAGGCATACGCAGAATACAGCACCTTTGCCCTAGAACCTGAGAATGATTTCTACCGGTTGCGACTGGGGCGCTATCAAGGCAACGCTGGTGATTCCCTCTCCTGGCATAATGGCCGACAGTTCAGCACCCTCGACCGTGACCATGATGCTTACTCAGGTAAGGATGCAGAAGGGAGATGGCTAAAAGAGGACACCAAGAGCTGGGGAGGAATGTGTTGTTTGTTCCTTATCTTTTTATCACTTTTATCCTTTTTTATCATCGATCTGGACTGATTGGAGGGGTGCCTGCCTGCCATGCTGCATCCTCCTCATGTCACCCTCCATGCCCCGACCCCCAGATGTGCCCGCCTGGGCACTCAGCCGCTGTGTCTGAAAGTATAGAGAAGAGGTAGACAAAAATATAGTATCCAAGCAAAGCGGTTGTGGAAGCAAATCATTATTCCTACAGTAGCTATTAGACCTGTTTCTCTTGTATCAGATTCCGAGAGCATGATATTCTGCACTCCAAGGAGCTTTAGCTCACAGCTCCAAACTCTGTCTCATTTGCCCACAGTATTCAGAACTGCAAAACTGGCTCTAAACTGTTTCTCTTCTGATCCCACCAGCTGGAGGGTGCCACCTTCCTAGACTGATGGATGCTGCATTCTAAAGCTGGAGAGAGATTCCCAGCCATCAAGAGAACTTTGTCTGCTTATGCTAGCTCCCAAGTATTAAGCCGACACCTGGCTAACAAAGGGCAGAACCCTTAATAGCACTGTATGGAATCCATCTATGAAGTCCAGACCTCTCACGGAGGCACACTAAGAAGAGCCTCAGATGATGATTGCATGGTTTGAGTCAGTTCATATGGAGAGATGTGGTCCTGGAAGTATTGTGGTTCTGAGCCATTTAAGACTTTCTAGCTCAAAAGCAGCACTTTGAATTCGACCTGGAAACTAATTAGCAGACAGTGCAATCAGGACAGGATTGGTGTAATATGCTCAACCATCTTGTCCCAGTGAGCAACCTGGTTGCCAAATTCTGCAGGGGTGGGGAACGTGTGGCCGTCCTTATGTTGCTGGATGACCTCTCTCATCCTCCCTCTCCACTAGCCATGCTGCCTGGAGCTGACAGAAGCTGGAAATTCCCCATCTCTATTCTAACAGCATCTGATTTCAGGATTTGATTCATGGGCACAGCTGCCCCCCCCCAAAAAAATCAATAGAAATACATAGCTGAGGTTCTGCCCTCCACCCCCCCAAAAAAAATCCTGGCCATGCCCATGGTTTGATGATAAATTATCTATTCCCCACCCCTCTTCTTTTCCTACAGGCAACTGTGCCCACTTCCAGAAAGGTGGTTGGTGGTACAATATGTGTGCCCACTCCAACCTTAATGGTGTCTGGTACAAAGGAGGGCACTACCGAAGCCGTTATCAGGACGGGGTCTACTGGGCAGAGTTTCGTGGCGGTGCCTACTCACTCCGCAAGGTGGTCATGATGATCCGGTCTCCACAAGGCACCTGATTTCTGTACCTGGAGTAAGAAAGGACGCATACCAAGGGCAGGTCTAGATATTTAAAAACAGGAGTCACTGAGCTCTGAAAGCTCACTTGCCATGTTCTCAGTCAGACATACAGCCTCCTTCTCAAAGCAAGCTCCTTCTAGTGCCAGTGACCTGTAGAAACTGTGGGTGCACTATGCTAACGGTGGGTGGGTGGGGGGGCTTGTGGCATTCCCTGAGCAGTTGTCCAGATTTTAAAAGAACATTTTTCCCTTTAAAAAATAACTGAAAATAATTAAAGGTGCCAAATGATGTTTTAAATGTACATGCAGCACCTTAAACAATTAACAGTCAGCACCTTTAAAAAAATTGGAAATCAAAAAGCGAAGGGGGTGTTCAGCAAAACTGAAGAGAGAATTAGCATATGGGGGGGAGGTGTTTGTTATTTTCAGTGGGTGCTTCTAGGTGGGGCCTCCTTACACCTACAAGTTTTTCACAGTGTCCACATAAGTGGCATCAAAATGCTAGTCTGAACTTTCCACCTCATTAAATTTGGATTTGTCAATTTTGGAGGAAATCCAGTGAAGTTAAAAACAAACAAATACTGTAAACAAAACAGCTTGTTGCCAGAAACCTTTGGTACCTGAACGGCCTGCAAGCACTCATCTAGAAACACATGTTTTAAATCTGACGACACATGTTTTAAATCTGCAGCTTTATACTTACATACCTTGGAGCAAGCCACACATGAGTCAATGAGTGGAGGTGTATAGGACTGCATCATCTTCACTCTCTACAATCCAGGTGTAACAACCCAGTTTGTTGTGACATGTGAAGCCTTGGAGGTTGCATTCTCCCCATCACATGCCAAAAAAGGAAATAAAAAACTTCAGTTCCCCTAATTAGAAGCACAGTTTGTTGCTGTGTGGAAACTTTGCAAATGATAGTGTGTTCAAACTATGATTTCTTAACTATCCAGGATTATGTGGTTTGTTCCATGCTGCTGTATACTCCTCCCTCCCCACATTGTGGAACTAGTTACTCTTGTAGAGGCTGAAACACCCCGTGGTAGAAAACAACACTGCAGCGATTTAAGGATCGCCACTTTCATAATCCTAACAGAAGCGTCATTAGCACTGCTGTAGCAGACTCTGGGCTCATCCAGACTTCTGTGCCGTGTTCCTTGGCACAAGTGTGTACTTTAAAGCTCTGTGTCCAAGCACTTTTTCATTTTTGGTTGCCCTAATGCTTTCCCTGCAAAAACCCACGCTCTACTGCCGAGTCTGTGCAAACGGAAATCACAAAAAAACCCAAATTGCCATTTGTTCTGAATCAGCGTTAAAAAACGGACATTTGTATACAGTGGTACCTCTGGTTAAGAACTTAATTTGTTCTGGAGGTCCGTTCTTAGCCTGAAACTGTTCTTAACCTGAAGCACCACTTTAACTAATGGGGCCTCCCACTGCCGCTGCGCCACTGCTACGTGATTTCTGTTCTCATCCTGAAGCAAAGTTCTTAACCCAAGGTACTATTTCTGGGTTAGCGGAGTCTGTAACCTGAAGCGTATGTAACCCGAGGTACCACTATATGCCCAATTGCTATGTGAAGGTGGCAGAGCGAGAAAGTGAGGAGCTGGGCCTGATGGTAAAGTCCTGGCAAGAGGCTTCCCATTCATGCTATAAACTCTAGAGTTAACACAGTTCCTGGTGATCTATTCTGATTGGAAAAGGCTTAAGGAAAGGGCCTCCTCATCCTTTTATCAGAGATGGAAACCTGAGGCACAGTAGAGCTAGCGGTGAAAGAAAGCCATGATTTCCACTCCAGTCTGGATTTGACACAACCAGCACTGTTTCTGTTCCACTACAGTTCTGTTTCTGCCAAATATTATGTTATTTATCTTGCTGTCCATTATTCAGCTTAAGGTGCATAACTTGTGTAACTGACAACTGTTTATGTAAGCTACATAACTTACATTCATTTCAATGTAAAGGAAACAGCAAAATACAACAATAGTTAGGCATTAATTAGAACTCACAATATATTATACAAATCCCATAAATGAAGACAAATGTATTTATTTTGCATAAACCTATTTTGTTCACTTAAATTTGAAATTTTCTTGCAAGGAAGTCCACAATCTGCCCTAAAAATAAAGTATGCAAGTCTATTAGTTCTTTCAGATTGGTTGGGTATACTTTTTTTGACTACTAGCAGAGTTCTTCCAGGTTGTGAATGTCCTTTGACAAGGCACACAAACCCAGCCTCCTGGATACAGTGGAACCTTGGAAGCCAAATGCCTTGAAACTCGAACATTCAGGCCCCCGAATGATTGAAAACCGGAAGTGAATGTTCCGGTTTTCGAAGATTTTTGGAAGCCAAATGTCTGGCACGACTTCCAGTTGACTTCAGTAACCCGCTTTTATCCATCCTTCCATCCTGCAAACTCCCAAACACGCTGGCGGATTCTTTCTTGGCTCCTCCGCCTCCGCTTGATCTCCTTGCCCAATCTCCCAGCCTGATTCCCCTCCACCCCCAGCCAGATCTTGGCAGCCTCCTGCCCATCCAAGGCCCTGGGACTGTGGGTCGCTGTATGGATTCCCTCCCCTCTTGAAAATGTTTGCGTACTTTCTCCTCTTCCTTGTTTTTTCCGGGGTTGCTTCCCCCTCCCCCTTGCACAGAATGAGACTCTTTCACCAAAGCCTTTTCTTACCCGACAAAGGGGACGTTTTATTTTGCAGGAGGTTTAAGGGTTTGTGTTGCTTTGTTTTCCGTGTATATTTTGCCTTTCATTGATGTTAAATTTAATGTAGAGCTTCCTGTTTAGTGTAAAGCATACCACAGATCCTCCCTCTTCAGAAGACTAAGGCTGCCTTTTCAGGGCCTTTGAGTGACTCTTGTGGTGTATTCTTTTAAAATACAACAACAACAACCACCCCGCTTTGCAATGCTGCTTCTTCTATCGGTGTGTTGTATCCCTACATGAACACACAGGAATTTAAGACTCCAAACAACCTGAGACTTCAGTTCTTCTGAATGCAGTTATTCCATAATTGCTCTGAAGTGGTCTCATTGTCTCCTTACAGAGTGCTACGCTGAGGTCTGTCTGTTTTTGGTACTTATTTTGCATTTTTGTGGCTTTTTGTTTTGTTTTTGTGACTGTGTGGAACCCAGTTCAGCTACTGATTGTGTGACTGCAGTACACTGTTTATTGCTTTCATTTGATGGATCAGTGGTCTCGTTATATAGTAAAATTCACGTTAAATTGCTCTTCTAGGGGTTGTTTTTAAAAGTCTGGAATTGATTAATCCATTTTGCATTACTTTCTATGGGAAAGCACACCTTGGTTTTGGAACGCTTTGGTGTTGGAACTGACTTACGGAACGGATTAAGTTTGAGAACCAAGGTACCACTGTACTCTTAACCACTTGTAGATCTTCACTCCATCAAGGGATGAGCCATCTGTGTGTGACTCCTCGCTTCTGCAGCTTATTCCTAACTGGATGATGTGCACAAGCAGGTGCTACAGATACAGCTCCCTCCTGAGCTAGCTGCTGGGGCTGCACATACATGCCCCTGCTGCCATCAGATAACCTCAGCTGCAGCACACATATGCATGTAAAATGTGGTTAAAATGTCAATCACGTTTTCAGAAAGGGATTTGGAGGAAATGAGTATGGATTTAAGTTTCTTTGGTCCCTGTCTGAACTGTGTGCATCCAGGCCCTTGTCTATACTTTCTCATTTTGTACCTCTTCAATTGACTAGTGTTTAGCAGTGGCTCCCATGGGTCAAATGTAAGGATCTTGCACATCACCTGACTCTTCTTATTGGAAATGCCACAAATTGAATTTGGGACCTTTGACATCCAAAGCATGTCCTCTAGTGCTGAGCTACTGTCCTACTTCTAAGAAAGTTTAGAAACAGGGGTTTAAAAAAATGATCTGCTGCCACTGACTAACTCTAAGGCTGCATACGCATGACATTTTATTCTAGAATCAATGATGACCGAGTACTTGTTTTTTCTTCCTGATCCACACACAGATATATGGGTGGCTATTTACCAAGATCACAATCATCACTCCCTCCATTCATCTGGGGCACATGGAGGAAGGAAAAGGTGTGGATAACCTAATAGAGGGTCAGGGTTTTCAAGCACATATCAAATAACTACACCCATCCTTGTAGATGGCAGGATATAGATTGAGAGCAACATGTTAAACATTGAGAAAAACCTTTTGTTATTGGGGGGGGGGAATTGTGCTACAAATGGGTGAGTGTTTATGTAGTCTGTGATTAAAGGACTCTGCTTCTGGGCACTGTCCCATGTGGGTCTTCCCAGCACAGACCAGTCTTTTTTTTAGAATTGCAGAGTTGGAAGGGACCATGAGGGTCATCTAGCCCAACCTCCTGCAATGCAGGAATCTTTTGGCCAACATGGGGCTCGAACCCACAACCCTGAGATTAAGAGTCTGATGTTCTACTGACTGAGCTATCCCAGAAACAATTCGCAGACCAGTCTTTTGATCATTTTTATACAGGTTGCTGGCCCTTTGAACTGTAGAAACCAGGCAACATTTCAATGGTGGGGGAGAAAACATAATTTTAATTGCACCCACTTTTATAATGCACCAGGGCAAGAAATAATATCTACATACATGGTAGAAAACATTTGCCCATAAACATGAGACAGAGTGTTGTAGATAGATCTGAAACCTTTCAAATTGGAGATTAAGATACAGCACCCTGTACTGATTTGTTTTTCCAAGATCAATGCTAATATCACAAATCCTGCACAGATTACCTTATTTGATAAAACATTGCTATATTGCCTTTCAGCCCTAAAAAGGTTTCCCAAAGTGGTTTACAACAATACAGTTTTTATAACAATTAAGAAAGATTTGCATAAAACTGCCTTTTCTACATGCTCAATGGGAAGGGAACTGGGTTCTCTGAACAGGACTGTTAACAGAGCACAGCTACCCCAACCAGGCTCCTCCAACTTCTCCATCCCTGACCCTTTTTATTTCTAGCCGCACAAGCTCTAGGAGGCAGAGAGCATTGCTTGAAAGGTCAAGCTGCAATGTTCCCATTCTTTCTGCAACCTCCCTGAGGAAAGACACCTTGCTAGTACAGTATGGAAATTTTCAATCTCAGCCACCTACACTTTAGTTCCTTTTATATAAATAATTTTTATTGAGATTTAAGATCACCCACCAACACCAGTAAAACATCAAATCTTATTACATATATCCTACTTTATGCTCCGTAGAGCTGTTGACTTCCGTCCTTCCTATTCTATCAGTTTTCCTATCAGTTTTCCTATTCTATTCTATAGTTCACAGTTTCTTTGATTAGATATTACAACATGACATAAGATTTACTTCAATCCTGCCAAAGTTTTCAAATTTGTAGAGTTCTCATATAGATCAAAATTTTACACCATTCTTTTTGGTACTTTGTCTCCTCCTGATTGCGAATTCTGTGTGTCAATTTAGCCATCTCAGGGTATTCAACCAGCTTTATCTGCCATTCTCCTATTGTCGGCATCTCCTGTTGCTTCCACTTTTGAGCTATCAGAACTCTGGCTGCAGTTGTTGCATATAAATATAATCTTTGATCTATCTTTTTAATCCCTTCTCCCACCAAACCTAGCAAAAATTCTTCCGGCTTTTTGGGAAAACTATACTTAAACATCTTTTTTAACTCGTTATAAATCGATTCCCAGAACTCTTTTAATTTATTACATGACCACCACATATGAAAGAAGTCGCCATCCTTTTCCTTGCATTTCCAGCAAGTTTTACTACTAGTTCTGTACATTTTTGCCAATTTGGTGGGAATAAGATACCAATGATAGACCATCTTCATAACATTCTCTTTTAAGGCAGAACAAGTGGTGAATTTTATACTCTCATTCCAGAGTTTGGCCCATACATCATAGTCTATGTTGTGTCCTAGATCAATAGCCCATTTTATCATAGCCTCTTTTATAAGTTCGTCTTTTGTATTCCATTCTAATAGGAGATTATACATTTTTGAAAGTAGTTTAGACTTACTTTCTATAATGTCTATTTGAAATTTCGATTTTTTGTCTTCAAATCCTAATTTTTTGTCCTCTTTAAAAACATCATTGACTTGATGGTATTGCAACCATCCTGTCAATTTTCCAGCAATACAATCATAAGGCTTCAATTTCCAACCTTTTTCGGCTTTCATCAGAATCTCCTCATAGGTGGCCCCTCTCCCTTCTATGTTCAGTTTTTTAACTGTTAACATATCAATTGGTGACACCCACCACGGTGTTTTCCTTTCCAACAAATCCTTGTATCTGTCCCAGACTTCAAATAGAGCACCCCTTATCACATGATTTGTAAACCCTTTATGCACTTTTGCCTTACCATACCAAAGATAGGAGTGCCATCCAAATCTATTGTTGTGCCCCCACCTACACTTTAGTTCCTAAAGCTTTAGCAACACGATAAAAAGAAACTTGGCCTCCTCCATGTCTTGCTGGGTTTGGAGAGTTTTGCTAGAGCTTGAAGCAGCACGCATTCTTTCTAATCATGACTCCACCTGATACAGGAATGGGGACCTCATTCTGAGCCACTGCTGAACTACAACTCCCATCAGCCATGGTTATTTTCAATGTTGCTGGAGCTGATGGGACAATAGTGCTACAGGTTAACCACCTCTGAGCTAATGGAAACTACTGACAAGACCAGTAGTAGTTTTCCCACCAGAACACACAAACATGATCCTCTCATGCCAACTGCATATGAAAGTTCAAAGAGCTGGTAAAAGATCATGATGAACAGGACAGAAGTGTTATCTTTGAAAAGCCTCTTAGTTCTTTTAAGGTCAGTTTAACCACTGGAAGTTAGGACATCGTCAAGTTCCACAGACAACTGGCTCCAATGGGAGATGTCAAGGAGGGCTGATTGGACATAAGATGGAACACATCCACACAGTACTAGCCTTCTTTACTAGTTTCCCCAAAGGATCCTAGGAATTGTAGTGGGTCAGGGTGGTGAGAATTGAGGAGAGAAAATGACTATTAAAACCAGTTTAAATCTATGGCTAAGATACATCTAGAAGATGAGCTCTCCAGAAAAGAAATAAGACTGACAACCAAAGCAAAGAAAAGCCACACTGAGAAGATAAGACAAAGTGCAGAGCCAAAGAGAAGCCCAGAAATGATAAATGGGGAATTCATGTGCATCATTAGAACTGTTCAGCTTGAAGAAGAAAAAAGACCCCCTTCCCAGCCATGCTCACTAGTTTGCAACCTGGCATTCATCTCCCATCCATTCCCGCTCCAGACATCCAGGGGGTTAATTGCTGCTCTCGCCAGCCTCCTCTTCCTTCAGGTCTTCCAGGATGAGCTCATTGATGTCGCAGAATGCCAAGCTGCCTTGACTTAAGCAGGTGGCCACCGTGGAGCCAGTACTATCATGCTCTTGGCTGGGGTAGATGACTTTGGGCAAGCTGTTCTTGACGCGGCTTTGGGGATGCACACAGTGAGTTCCTGGTATATGGGGCTCTGTAAGGGGACAGGAGGACACGAGGTGAAATGTTTTGCTGGACCAGCCACACATGAACTCACCTTCCTACACTCCCTTGTTTCCACACTTTCTAGAAGGCAGTCAAGCTCTACTCCTCCCCCCTCCCCCAGCCAACATTCCTTCTGTGCTGATCATGGCAGCAGTACGGGAAAAGTTCCAATACTCCAGAGAAATAGTCTGCACATTGTCTCTCATGAACATGAAGCACATTTTGTAGAGCCACAGGAAAAGGGCAAATACAGGAAGGCACTTTTTTCCCTCTGCCAAATAATATGCCTGGAATTTTGCTCCAACGTCTAAGTCTTTCTACTCTGGTCCCATTCCTGCAAACTGGGACCAGATGCCACTTGGCATGGCAAGTCAGCAACACATGGTGGCCCCCTAGCAGGGAAGGGACACCCCATGGCACAATGCCTATTCATTGAACATTCAGCCCCACCTCTTCGGTTGTAGCAATCCTCTGCAAAACACGAATGCTGCTGTCTGCTTCTTGGTCCCAGCTTCTTGCGAGGTGGGATGATAAAACTCGGGAGAACAGGGCTGTGGCAACTGTAGCAGGGAGACGGGGTCCCCATCTGGGCCGAACCACTGCAGTCAAGAGATGGAGGGGGTGCCTTTATTTATTGATACATTTACTTATTTTCTGTCATGTTCTGATATACCTCATTTTTTAACTAATTTTTTGCCATTTTATTTCGTGGAGCTCTCAGGAAGACCATTATACTGCGCAGAAAATTATACCAAGAAATAAGGAATCAACCTAGCTCAAAACATCAATACTGCACATCAGAAACCCCACTTCTCCCAGTGCCAAGCGTTCTAGGGTAGAGCACTATCACATTTAATTTCCTTTGGGTGAAGCAACACCAGAACAAATAATACCAACTATGTGGAAGAAGCACCCTCCTAAAAACAGACAGCAGAATCCCACAGGACAAACTGCGCACCCCCTGCCACAAAAGGCTACGCCTGTTTCTAGCTAACTCAGGAAAGAAACTCATAGCCTTTTCAACTGGCAAACTGTTTTGTTTGCTCCCTTTAGCTGAAAGAGGTATTTCCAGGCTCTGAAGATTCCCAGCCCTCAAGGCATACTAATATTTTTTGTTAAACCCAGATTAGAATCATAGAATGGTAGATTTTGAAGGGACCATGAGGTTTACCCTCTGAAAAAATATCAGCCAATCTTTTCTGACCAATAAGTGAGAGATCAATTAAAGAAAGGAAGGTCAATTAGAATAACAAGATGACTTGTCTCAATATCCTTAGTTATATGCCAAACAAGATTGCTGACTGTGGTAAAAGCTATTTATTATTACTTATTTAATTTATTACCCACTCTTCACCAGCCAGTCCCAATCCTACAGCCCAGTCTTATGCTTACACATGCAGAAGAGTCACACTGTGTTCAATGGATCTTACTTCTGAGACACTGGCTGCGTGCAAACTATACCTTTAAAGCACACAGCACTTCCTTTCCCTCAAAGAATTCTGAGCACTGTAGTTTACCTCCCTCAGTTACAATTCCTAGCAACCCTTAGGAAACCACAGTGCCCAGAATTCTTTGAGGGAAAGGAAGGGCTTTGAATGCGCTTTAAAGGTATAGTGTGTACGCAGTCCATGTCCAATCCCCTGCTAATGCAGGAATTCCACTGCCATGCCATTCATAACAGGTGGCCATCCAGCCTCTGCTTAAAATCCTCTAGAGAAGGTGAGCCCACCACCTTCTGAGACAGCCTGATGTTTCAATGTCCAACAGCTGGTACTGAATCAAGAAAATAATCCTAATGTTTATAGTCTAAATTCTAACATGAAACTATTGGTTCCAGTCCTGCCCTCTGGAACAATGGAAGACCAATGTAGATACTGAAGTCCCCCTCTGTCCTACACTCTCGAGTCATTCAGTCTGTGCTGCTCACCTGAAGGTACGTCCACACGAGGGGCAAGTGAACTCTGCTGTACCCCACATTTTGTCTTCAGGCACTGGGTCATACTTGTTCCCACACAGGTGACAACGGGACACCTGTGGAGGGCATCAAATGAGAAGCTAAAAGGCACCCAAACTCCAGCAATGAACCACAAAATGAAATGGCAGCAGACTCCGTTCAAGTCCTGCTGAAGTCCTCTATAGAGCAAGCTGCCCATATGAGATGTGGCCCCAATACTGTTGCACCCTTGATTGCAGCTGCTTTATTTCTGGTTGCGGGGAGTGGTGGTGGCTGGGAGCAGTGGTCTTGGAGTGAAAAGTAGAAGAAAACACATAGAGTTCAGCCCCCCACTCTTTGTCCATGCTCCACTTTCACTCCCCTCCCTCGAAAAACACCTCTATAGAGACACTATCCATGCTGTATATGGATTTGGTGGAAGACCCAGTTTTAACCCAGGTCTCTTGCCATCATGTCTCCTTGGTCTTCCCTCCCTTTTTGAAGTCTACTCACCACATAAGTGACAATTTTGGGGGAAGGTGATTATCTCAGTTGCAACACCTCTGAAAATAGATTCTCTCTGGCATAGGAATAAGGAGCCAATGGAACTTCTTTAATTTTTCCAACCCCAATTACTGGGTGGGGGGGTTGTCATCAGAAGTCAGCACATTGGAAGGGGAGGGTTAACCAGTGTGTGACACACATACACACACACCCTAGCAATTAGGCTGAAAAACCCTTCAGTAGCACCTCTGGAAGCCCTTTTTCAAGCCTAACTGCTGTGAGATGCATTTTGCCTGTGGGCCAAAGAATTTTCACACATACTTTTATTTTTCCTTTTAAATTTAGGCAAAGATGGGGAGACAAAAGAGGGAGGAATGGGAGAAGTGAGGGTAAAGAAGGGTTACTATCCTGAGAAAACACCCATCTCCCTTTTACTTGAGCTACCTCAGTGGTTGTACGTGGCCATCAGTTTGACCCTTTGAGGCAGATGATCCACGACACATGGTCATGCATGCACACACACCTGTTTCCTCTTTGGGACTCGACGCCACCACATACTGTCACAGGGCTGGCAGGAAAACTGACGGTCTTCAGGCGGGATGCGGTTCTTTTCGGCATTGTCAAACATGCGCAGGTTCTTCTGCGTCAGAGGCAAGCACTTCAGCTGCTGAGCAACCTCCTGGGGAAGAATAAACATGAAGCGTATGAATGTGATCTCCTGGGTGGTCCTCCAAGGGCCAGGAAATTCCTTCATGGCCAAGGGCAAACCCGCTTCCCTCACACCTGTCCAACTTGAGCAACTGGTCAGAAGACGACGATGAAGAAGAAAGCTACTGTGGCCCTGTTCCTAGTGGATGGGCCTGGGTGTATGTTGACCAACACTGAGGGAGAAACAAGACTTCCTTTTGTGACATGTTTCTAGGCACATGTCCAGGCCGTAAAGCACTGTGAGCAAATGCGTTCCCCACCCCCCACTCCGGCAACACTTTCTCACAAAAACTCGCTATTTACCACTGAATTGAGCAAACTTCAATCTGCAGAAAACCCGAATTGCCGTTTGTTCTGATTCAGCATTAAAGGGCAGGTTTTTGCAAGGAAAACACTCAAACACGGAACTTTAAAGTGTGGACCTGTGTCTAGAAAGCTTGGGGCAAAAGGAAAGTCCAAGAACCAAGGGTCTGCTGGTTATGGCAAGAAGGTGAACAGGAGAGGAAGAGAGACTTCCGTGCTCTCACCACCAACAGCTTCCCCTTCCCTCCTGGCTAGCCTTGCATCAGCTGAGAGCAGCCGCAATCTGGTGGCCTCTGCACCTGCAGCCCATTAGCATCTCCTGGCTGTAGCACCAGCTACAATTGGTTTAAATGTTTTGTTTTAACTGTTTTTAATTTGGGGGGGTGTTGTTTTTATTGAGGAAGAAGAGATGTGTTTGGGAAGAAAATAAGTGGGGAGAGCAGGGGGTCAACCACAGTGGTTCTGGGTAGGGGAACGTATGGTGTGGGAGGTGGGGCAGACCAGGTAAGGGGCACACGGTACAAGCAGTTAGTGACTGTGCCGTGTGCCAGCCCCTGCTTCAGTCCGGGGAATTTCGGTTGTCCTATCAGCCAGCCCTTGGGTCTGCAGCTGCTGTTGTTGAATTTTGGTTTGGCTCTGAGTAAGACCTCCCTCATCCATGATCTGATGATGGACATGGAGGCTGATTTGGTCTGTACCACGAACACCTGGGTGGCTGAGCAGGGTGGAGTTGGTCTCACCCAGCTGTGCCCACCTGAACAACAGGGCAGACCTGAGGGCTGGGGAGGAGGAGTTGCTGTGGTCTGTAGAGACTCCATCTCTCCAGGCTCTCCATCCAGTTGTGGGAGGATCTAGAGTGTGTGTTCCTGGCACTGGGCAATCAGGACAGATTAGAGATTCTGTGCCAGGCAGCCCTCCCGTCTGTGGTTCAACACTGTAACAGAAACAGGCATGGCTTGGCAGGAATTAACTTTATTGCTCAATAACCAAGGAAACAGCACACGGCACACCCAACAGTTAAGCAAGTCAGTTGCAGAAGCTAAAGTTCCTGCCCCTTCCTTCCCTTTATTTATACCTCCCTCCTTGCATTTTTTCACTGTGACTCAACTTTTCTTAATTGTTCCAGCCTTTTCTCGACTTCATTCCTGCGCTGAGAATGGGGGAGGGGAAGGAGTCGAATCAATACTGTATTGCAGAGCAGGAGACACAGCCCCTGCTCCTTCTCTCTCTGCGCCTGCCTCTCCCCTTTGCCTTCACTCTCTGCTGATGATTCCTCTCTGCCCCACCAGTCTGAACCTGGTTCAAAGTCCCCTTCCTCCTCAGGTGCTTCCTGGGCCACTGGCTGCCACCACTCTTCCTGCCATTCACTGGCTGCCACCACTCTTCCTGCCATTCTCCTCGCTGCCCAGCCGTCTCCCTGCCTGAGCTGACAGAGCTGGTTTTGGAGGCAGGGTTGAGGACTCCCAGACTCCTGGTTTGGGGGGACTTCGACATCCATGCCAACGTGACTGGCTCTGGGGTGGCTCAGGACTTCATGGCTGCCATGCTGGCCATGGGGGTGTCCCAAAATGTCACCTGCCCAACGCATGTGGACCTTGTTTTCTTAACTACAAAGGTCAACCTTGGTTGCTCATTAAGGAATGCAGGAACATAGGAAGGACTGAGGTCTTGGAATGCCAACATTTTGAGCATTTTCTAACAATTTAACATTAACCTTCCCAATTCTCTGTAACAGACTCCAATTCTCATGAGTCCCAGCCAGCATGACCAATGGTCAGAAATGATGGCAGCTGTTGATTGCTTTAACGCTCCGTACCAATGTAATAAAGTTTTAATTATGACTTAACGGCACATCAGTATGGTGGATTCTCTTTTTCTTTCTCTGATCTTTCCCTTATTTTCCTTATTCCACCCCCAATGGTTCTGTCCCAGTAACCACAACAGTCCAGCCCTGGACCTATTCTCACCTTTATTTTCTCATCACTCTTGTCATTTCGTTTCTGCAAGGAAAGAAATAAACTATGATGCACAACATTATTAAATCAACATAACCTAGTACACATTGTTTGAACACAAAAACATTCACTGAGCATATCCTTCTCAAATGCTACATGCTGTTTATAACTCTTGAGGTTTTTCTCTGGTCATCCTACAAAATTAGGACCAGATTTAAAAACACAGCGCTTGTGCACACAACATATTTTGCACACATGCATACAGACAACATACTCTGCATATGCACACATACAAACCTAAGCAAGTGACATCCACTGAATTTTTAAGAGTTTATTCCTGCTTTGCACCTGGTCCTCTCCTGGCGTTCTTTTCTTTTTAAAAGAATTAAAGAAGATGTAAGTAAAAGAAAGACATGACATTGGAATGAACCACCTAAGATCAGGGTGCAACTCAATTGTGTGTCTCGCCCCAGCTATTGGAAGTGAATAGAATATGGAATAAGACCTTCACTGCTTTCTGTTTTGATATTTTATTAATGCAGTTAGGAATTCAGGGACAAGACTAGTGGCTGGCAGACAAATGTGAGATTGAGCTGCTGGTATCATTGCTACACAAAAGGATGGCTCAAGATAAGTTGGTGCCTGTGAAAAATCCAAATGGTGTCTCTTTGGGTGCCGTCCTCTGGAAGGTTCTCCTCCACATTTCCCATTTGGTTCGTTGGTAGGATTGTGCCTGCCCGTTTAGATCTTTCTGCTTCTTGTTCTCACTAGCATCAGCGGCAACTAACCTGGCTGGCTTGTCTTAGTCATGTTACACAAGCAGCTCAGAAAAAGAAAGTTTTAATGGTCTCTCTAGTGGGAGACCCTAATTTACCTGAACTGCACACACCCCAGAAGTATTCTGAGAGTATTCTTACTATTCCCATCACCTGTCAAAAAGCAGTTCTAAAAGGGTTTGCCAAGTCAGTTAAGATCTACCAGTGAGGCTCTGCCCTACACAATACACTCCTCCTTCCCAAATCACCTGTTTCTTCTGCTCCTCTTCTTGTTCCAGTTTATCCACCACTCTCTACAACAAGAAGAAAAGTGTTGAAAGTGGCTACCAGACAGCAGGAAGAACTAGACCCATGAAATAAGAAGCACAATACATATCTAGGTGACATACACACTTCTGAAAGTGACAAAATACTATTGATCAGGAAGACTGAAAGTGCAGTTAATTCTTAAATAGCAAACGCTCAGAATTCATGACACAGTAACTATATGATCCATCATTTTCCCAGGCAGGGCTTTTTTTCAACTGGAACTTGCTGAAACTCCATTCTGGGACCTCTCAGCTGGGCGCCATTGCCCTTCTAAGAGAACGAGGGAGGTGTTCATGGTGAGAAAAATGATAAACACAAACATATAATTAGTGGTGCCTCAAATCTGTTGCTGCAGTCGGTGACTTTCCTGCATTAGCAGGTTGGACTAGACGACCTTTGAGTTTTTCTCCACATTTCTGATTCTGTTAAAACATAGGAGCCAGCAATGTTTCCTAGGAGCCAGATGGGAGGCTCTTCCTTACTGGTGGGGACCTGAGCCCCCCAGTGAGAGGAAAGGTCCTGCTCTGTGCCCCATCTGCACATAGGCAGCCCTTATTCTCCTCACCAAGCTACAATTTCCAGGCTGGTTTAACAGGCAGCCCCTCTTCCCAGGAACTCTGGGACTGCAGCTCTGGGAGGGAAGAGGGGCTTCTGAACAACTCTCGGCACCCAGAACAAACGGCACTTCCCGGGATTCTTTTGGGCAAGCCATGACTGTTTGAAGCAGGATACAGCTTTAAATGGGGGGAGCAAATGGGACCTCTGACTGGAGCGTTTCCCCCTGCTCCCTTTCCTGCCCTCCGTTCCTTCCAGGTCTCCTCGGAGTCACGGTCCTCCACTTTTATCATATGTGGTGGATTTGCAAAATAACAAAGAACCTCTGGGAAATGGAGGTAGGGCACGATACCAACAAAGGAAGAATGGCAGACAAAACTGATAGAATACATAGAAATGGCTAAAAGAATCATGGACATAGAGAGACAACAGGACTGTACGATAATAAAATCATAGGGAACAGAAGATACGTAGCCGCTCCAGCAACATATCTCTATTTCCTCACATCCAGAAACGCAAGAGGGCTTTCACTCTTGCTAGAAGCTTGGCCTTGCCCTCACCGGTTCTGGAAGGCTCCTATAGAAGAGTCCTGTACGCAGAGACTTTGCGCCTGCCCATTAGGGGAAATAGGAAGCCCCAAACATATATATTTTTAGATGTCCTTTTTATGTTGAGATTCATAGAGACACCATAGATCCTTTGCTGAAGAGGCTCACTGATCTTTCAGACAAGTCTAAACTTAATTCTCTCCTCTTAGGCAAAGATCACAAGACGACCTGGTTGGTAGCCAGATTCTGCGCCCAGATTTGTAGGCACAGATCATCCTCTAGAATAAAATAACTTACTAGGGAAATGCTGAAGTCGCCCTTTAGGGCACCTCAGGGTCAATTTTTTATGGTAGCCCAAATCTCAGTTGTACGGGTGTATGTATATATCTCAATTTTAACTCATGAGCTACTGCTGCAATCTGCTCCGATTGTATATTTTATCTTTATGAACGCTGTTTTTATTGTGTTATGTTATGTGAGGTGGTCTTTGACCGTAATAAATTATCTATCTAGAAATGGCTAATCTGATGCATAGATAAGGATTAAAAAAATACAAAGAAGATTGGAAAAGATATGTAGAATATTTGAAAAACTATTGTAAACATATTAAAACATTAACAGTATTAGAATAAATCCAGCATTAAGGAATATTTTGATATCAAATTGGAAAAATGAGATAATAAAACGAACCATGGATGGGGGGGAGGGAAGTTGATGATAACACTTTGTAAATGGACTTAAAATGGTTTAGTTTAAATTTGTTACAAAATGATAAGTAATTTTTTTTTTAAGGAGTCATAGCCCTCTGCATCTCCAGGCAGAAATCAGCAGGCCCAGTTTTGGAGGCCAAAACAGAATTAAGGAAATGGCATTAAAAAGGCAGCCAGGATGCTGAGTGAGGCGAGTTTGCCCCTTTTGATATTATTCTCTTGGGGGGACTCAGTAGGTGAGTTTTGCAAATTATGCTTAGAGTATGAGAGATCACTGTATTTGGGTTATTTGTTTAGTAAGATTTATAGTCTGTCTCATCCTGAGTGTCTGGGACAGGTGACAATATTTAATACAAACAGCAGAATAGGAAAATGTAGTTGAAATGTTTTGCACCAGCACTTCCTGGTTTCTTGGAATGTTGTGCTGCTGACAACTATTCAAAGTACTGCACAGTGACTGTCTGAAATTCACTTTAATTTCAGCATTCCTAAGTGAGTGTTCAAAATCTCAGTCAAACCTCACCTTAAAGACTTAGAAATGTTTTATGATCTTGCGTAATTAGTATTTATCTGCAGACTTATTTATTTAGGTCATAACTGGACCATGGATAATTGGACCCACTTTGTTGGCGTTTGTCTGTCTCAAGAAGGCATCTTTCCTCCAAGGGTGAAGTCAAGCCGCCAGAGAAGTACTGCACCTGCTGTGGTTGTGGAGACCGATAACTCGTAACTGCTGCTTCCTACATTTTTTTGCTGAGTTAGGAGCACTTTTGACCTCTCCAGGGTGCAAGCCAGGGCAGTATGTACAGAAGCCCTGGGCTACCCAGATGACAAGAACCCCCTCTCGGCCTCGCTGATGTGGCTCAAATGAAAACAGAGCAATACATTTGGCACCAGCTTGACTGCATGAGTTGCCAGAAGGAGGCGTACAAAATGCCACCCAACAGTCTTAGGGATTCCATTGCAGATTTGTGTTGGGTTTACTCCTTAGCTCCTTAGCCTTTTCTTCTCCCAGTGATGTTCCGCAAGGCAGTGGGTATGGATGTTTCCTCGGGGTTTACTCCTGAAGGCTTTCTTACAAGTGAGTATAACCACAAGGCAGCAGAGGCTTAGAAGCAGTGTTCTGCTTCTCTTAGATGGGTTACATTCCCAGGTTGACGTTTCCCACCTGCCCCTCACTTCCCTCTACAGCACATGCAAACTGCCTTCTTAACTGTGGAGCCCACTGTTGGTCTCGTCCCTAACTCACCGATGGGAAGACCCATTGGCTACCCTCAGCTGCTTTAGCTGGCGAGTGGAGTTATTAAATTAGGATAGCACAGCTGTTGGGTTAATAAGAGCTTCATTTGTTTAACATTTCAGTATCTATAATTGCCCCTTAAAAGTAGCTTCTGACTCCTTACTCTTCATCTACTTTTTCCCAGCTTTTCACCTCTGCCTAAGATAAACAGACAGAGAATTACCAAAGCCACAGGATCATCATCGAGGCTCTCTCCATCTTCTGGGTCCGTATCTAAAAAACAGCAACACCACAAAGTTAGAGCAGGCTGAATGTGAGTTGCTGTTAGGAAGGAGGTCTGAAACTGTGAAAGGTAAATGTGCTGACACTAGGAATTGAAAGCATTCTGTGACCAGAGGAGAGGGAGCTGTATAAAACACAAGTCAGTTTACATTGACTTGTACCCTTTGTTCTAATCGACTGCTGCAATGCACTCTGTGTGGGTCTGGCCTGGAGACTCCAGCTCAGGGCTTTAGTGTTGCGCCCCTTCCTTGGGGTTGTGCAGCTCGCGGCTGTGCATCAGAGGCGGGTTTATTTTGCAGTGTTGATGGTGCAGAAAGCACCAAAAAAGCTCAACAACAACTTTGGGTGGGTGCTCCCCTAAAAACAAGTTCTGGCACCACTTTTTCTAGTAAAAAAAAAAGCCCTGCTCTAGCTGGTGCAAAAGGTGGATGAGGACAGATTATTGCCAGCACTTAACTCAGGTGCTCAAAAGTTTATAGTGGCTCAGGTGAGGTTCAAGGTTCTGGTCTTAATTTACAGGGCCACTAACACCTCAGATCCAGGAGGCCTAATCCCTTATATTGCTGTCCAGCCACTGAGGTTTTTGAGGGAGTCACGGTTACTGGTCCCCCATGGCTCAGATCCACCTGGAACTGTGCGTTTAGTACTGAAGACCCAATTTTATGGAACTTCTTTTCAGTTGAGGCCAGACAGCCCCTGCCTCCCTGCTGAATGTCGGGTGGCCACTGAAGACTTCTTTATTCCAGCAGGCACTGTAACTGAAGTCTGATTTTACTATTTGAACATTTACCTTTTCTTTTCTTTTTGCTTTTATTAAAAGATTTTCATGCATAAAAAGTACATTCAGTGTCTCTGAATTTCAAATCATAAAGTCATGAAGGTCAGTTATGTTCAGTTTGAGACATCTTTGTTATGGGCAGTATGGGGCTGGGGTGGGGAATGAGAAGTGGGGAGACACAGGGGAGGAAAAAGGCATGTGGGGAAATCAATAAACTTTCATTCTTTTTCATAGTATATGAACGGAGCTTCTGGGAGTGTCATGTGGGTAGGTATCTTGATTTTGCTGGTGCAGCGAGAGACCAGAGGAACTTCTACCTTTTCTGTATTGTATTTCTTGTACACCAATTAGAGACGACTGTAGTTAAGCGGTATAGACATTGTTTAAATAAATGATTGTCTTGTCCAATGGCAGAACAATCTTCATTCATTCCTTCTACTTTTTCTTTTGGTCACCCATACATCAGTCTCCTTTGACATTAGCAAGCTTCATCAATATATTGTGCTCTATAAGATGGCGGTTGTATATGTACTGTGAAGGCACTTCTTGGAGTGCCAGGCAGATGTGCTGCAGCTGCTGGGCTGCCCTCATTCACGTGCCTGCCCTCTTTAGGTGCTCCTCATTTCTGCAGGGTAACAGTAGAAGAACTTCCAATAGGGCTGCCACATGGAAGATGGAGCAAGCTCGTTTTCTCCTGCTCTGGAGAGCAGGACTTGAACCAATGGCTTCAAGCTATAAGGAAGGAGATTCTGACTAAACAGAAGAACTTTCTGTAGGTAAGAGCTTTTTAACAGTAGAATTGTCTCCTTTGGAAGGTGGTAGACTCTCCATTAGAAGTTTTTAAGCAGAGGTTGGACAACCTTCTGTCATGAATACTTTGAGATTCCTGCATTGCAGGGAGTTGGACTAGATGACCCTTGTTGTCCCTTCCAGCTCTATAATTCTACTATTTTATATGGGTCTTGCATGGAAGGAATGTCCTAGTAGTAGTAGGCTGGGCAACCTGTTCAGGGAGGCATCAACTTGTGCTTTTTGTAGTTACACAAAACCTTGCCTAACCTAGTACTTTAACACTGCAGCCTGCAGCCCAGGGTATAGGAGATCCGTCCAGATGTTGTTGGACTCCAACTCCCATCAATCCCAGGCGTCATGGATGATGGGAGCAGAGGTTGGGTGTGTGGCTGGGTATATGGGGACAAAAGTAGATACAGTGGTGCCTCGCAAGACGAAATTAATTCGTTCCGCAAGTTTTTTCTTCTTGCGAGTTTTTCATCTTGCGAAGCACGGTTTCCCATAGGAATGCACTGAAAATCAATCAATGCGTTCCTATGGAAACCGCCTTCAGACCAGGTCCGGGGACAGTCTGTCCCCCGACCTCTTCTGAAGGCTGGGGGGGACGGGACAAGGGCTTTTCTTCCCACCCCCAGCATTTTAAAAAACCCCCCGGGGCGATCTTAAAATGCTGGCGGGCGGCAGCGAAGCTTTCGCTGCCGCCCGCCAGCATTTTAAAAAACCCCGGGACAGCGGAGGACATCTCCGCTGTCCCGGGGCGATTTAAAAGCCCCCGGGAAGGCAGGCAGGGGGGAGCAAAGACTTTTGCCCCCCGACGGCCTTCAGAAGAGGTCCTGGATCTCTTCTGAAGGCCGCGGGGGGCAAAAGTCTTTGCTCCCCCCCGCCTGCCTTCAAAAGCCGTCCGGGATAGCGGGAAGCGCTTCCCTGCTATCCCGAACCGCTTTTAAAATGCTGGCGGTGGGGAGCAAAGCCTTTCGGCCCCCGCCGGCCTTCCTGGACCTCTTCTGAAGGCCGGAGGGGGGAAAGGCTTTGCTCCCCACCGCCAGCATTTAAAAGAGGTCCCCGGAGATTTCCCTATGGGCTTTCTTCTTGCGAAGCAAGCCCATAGGGAAATTCGTCTTGCGAAGCGCCTCCAAAACGGAAAACCCTTTCGTCTTGCGGGTTTTCCGTCTTGTGAGGCATTCGTCTTGCGGGGCACCACTGTATAGATCATCCGTGTGGGGTAATTAATAAAGGACTTGGCTGGATCCCTAGATCCAAAGCGCAGTTACACACACTCTCCAGCAGGACAGAGCCCTCAGCAGAATTTAAAAACACTGAATCATGCAGCACAGTGAAGTGTGAGGAATATAGGCTGTTAGACCTTTTTAATATCCTGTTCTAGTTGCTTGCAGCACTTCCCCTCATGTCTTGCAATGAACAGAGCACACCATTAGCAAGTTTAAAGGCTTTACTTACAAAAATCCAAAGGTCATGTTCATGTACTATTCCATGCCACAGCAAGAAGTACACAGGTAGAAAATATTGGGTTTACAAAATATAGTGAAATAGCTCTGGGCACGCAGTCTGAGCTTGTAGTGAGCAAGCTCAGCCATGTCCTATCTCGGTGAGTTCACATGGTGAAAGAGAATGAACCCAGGAAGAAACTTAATTTCCACGCTTCTGGGTGGGGAGCGTGACCTAACTGAGTCTAGGAACACAGTTCTATGATCTTAACCCTTTCATTCATTAACTAGCCCTACGCTTTCTAGTTATATTTGACTGTAATTTCCCACAGTTTGGTCATGGATGCCTTAGTTGAAATTCCTGCATTGCAGAGGACTGGACTAGATGACCCTTGGGTTCCCTTCCAACTCTATGGTTCTAAGCACTCTCTGCCTCCCCAGCTGCAATATGGAGATGCCTCTTATGGCCCTGCAGGCATCCCCTTCTCCCATACAATGCAGTGCTTCTGACCAGCACAAATGGCTAACTCACCTTCCAGCTCATTTTTGCAGAGAATGATGCGACTACAAGCGAGCTCATGATTGTTGCAGAACTGCCTCATCAGCACCGTAGCTGTTTTGATGCTCACCTTCCCATAAAATTTCTCTCGCAGTCGACGAACACTTTTCTCCAGCTGCACCAGAAGTGTAAGATCACAGTTCGTCAGTTGGTCAAGGGAGAAAAAGAAAAAACTTGCATAGCTTAGCCAGGGTTGTTTCTAAAGTCCACTCCTTTCATTGGGGCTAAGCTAGACGTGACACAAAACCCAATTTTAACAACCACATCAGGTTTGAAACAAACAAACAAACCAACAGTTGTGTGTGTGCGTCATTTAACACTTTCATCCCAGGCTGTGGCAGTTACAAACCCCACTCCCACATCTTTAGTGGAGAAATAATGAAGGCCCAAAAGCAAATTGAGAGGCATCTAAGGAAATTGATGTAGCTGCATAAGGGCTGACAGATGAGCTGAGAGTTAAAAAGGCCATGTATAGGAAATGGAAGAAAGGGGAATCACAAAGGAGGAGGAGTGTACATGAGTAGCCAACAGTTGCAGGGTGCAAGTCAGGCTGGGTAAAGCTCTGATGAACTCAGGCTTGCAAGAGAGGTTAAAAAATAATAAAGGTTTCTTTAGCTATGTCCGAAGCAGAGGAAGAACAAGTAAGTGGAAGGTCCTCTACATGGAGTAACGAAGGCGGAGTAATGCTATTAAGTGACAAAGTGAAGGCAGAACTAACTATTCGACACCTACTTTGCCTCTGCCTTCACCCCAAAGGAAAGTGATGCCAAACCTGGTGTTAAGAGAATAAATAATGTAAGGGGAGGGCTATGGTCCAAGATAGGAAAAGAGGTAGTAAGTGAACACCTAGCTACCGTATTTTTCCCTCTATAAGACGCACCCGACCATAAGACGCACCTAGTTTTAGAGGAGGAGAACAATATTCTCTCCCTCTCTGCGCAGGGGCTCCGTTTCTCCTCCCGCCTCGCTGAAGGGGCGCTGCGCAGAGAGGGAGAGCTGCGCAGCGCCTCTCCACAGCTTGAGGGATAGCCGTGCCAAGCCTCTTCAGGGGAGGGGGAGCGTTCCTCCCAATGCCCTGAAGAGGCTTTGCGTGGCTATCCCTGAAGCCAGGAGAGCAAGAGGGATCAGTGCGCACTGATCCTGGATTAAGCGATAACTGCGCAGCCTGCATTCACTCCATAAGACGCACCTTACTTTTTAGGAGGGGGAAAGTGCGTCTTATAGAGTGAAAAATGCAGTACTTTAAATGAATTTGAATCTCCAGGGCCTGGTGAGCTGCATCCAAGGGTACTAAAGGAGCTCGCGGATGTAATCTCAGAGCCTTTGTCTTATGATTTGAGAATTTTTGGAGAACAGGTGAGGTTCCTGCAGACTAGAGGAGGGCAAATGTTGTCCCCATCTTCAAAAGGGGGTTGGGGAGAAGACCCAGGTAACTACCGACCAGTGAGCTTGACATTGATACCAAGAAAGGTCCTAGAACAGATAATTCAACAGTCAGTCTGTGAGCACCTAGAAAAGGATGATGTGATTACTAAGACCCAGCATGAGTTTCTCAAAAATAAGTCATGCCATATGAATCTCATTTCTTTTTTTGATGGACTTACAAGCTTGGTGGATCAGGGGAATGCTAGTGGCATAGTGTATCTTGATTTTAGTAAGGCTTTTGACAAAATCCCCCATGATTATTCATGCAGAGAAGCTGCTAAAATGTGGGATGAACTGTTTGGTGGATTTGTAGCTGGCTGGCTGACTGAACACAAAGGTTACTAGTTCCTCGTTATCCTGGGGGAAAGTGACAAGTGGGGTGTCACAGGGTTCTGTCCTGGGCCTGTTGTTGTTCAAGGTCTTTATAAATGACTTGGATGAAGGAATTGAAGGGATGCTCATCAAATTTGCAGATGACGCCAAGCTGGGAGGGGTAACAAATGCCACAGAAGACAATTGGAATTCAAAGTGACTATTAACAGATTGGAGAACTGGGCTCAAGCTAACAAAATGAATTTCCATAGGGACAAATATAAGGTTCTGCACTTATGCTGGAAGAACCAGATGCAAAAATATAAGATGGGGACACCTGGTTTACAAGTAGTACATGTGAAAAGGATCTAGGAATCTTGGTGGACCACAAGCTTATCATGAGTCAACAGGGTGATGCAGTAGCAAAATAAGCTAATGTTATTCTACGCTACATAAACAGAAGTCTAGTGTCCGGATCAAGTGAAGTAATAGTACCACTCTATTCTGCCATAGTCAGACGCCTGCATTGCAGGGGGTCAGATTAGATTACCCTTGGGGTCCCTTCCAACTCTACAGTTCTATGGTTCTATAGCAGCTCTGTGCATATAATTTAAGTTGGAATGGCAGAAAGGGAGAAATTGCACCTTCTATTACTGTTATCATTTTAAACCCTGAAGTGATGGCTATCAGTGTGTTAAATCCATCTTTAGCAAATGTGGTGAATTCCAGACGCTGCTAAACTTAAACTCCCATCACCCTGACCATTTAGCCATGCTGGGTGGGGCTGATGGGAGTTGGAGTTCTACAACATCTGGAGAGCCTAGGCAAATGTCCCACATGTATGAAAATGTAATTTAGGAGCACAAAAACCCATCATTTCCAGATGTAATTTCCAAGGACAACAGATACCTACTGGAACAGAGGCGTAGCATGGGGGGAACTGGGGAGAGCTGTGGCCCCGGGAGCAATTTTGAGAGGGGGTGCAAACAGGCGCCCCCACAGCAGGCTCCTTCATCAGAACCGGGCTCCGAGGCAGAAGGAGCTGCGCCTTGGCTGCGGCGCCTGTGCCTGGTGAAGCTCCGCCACCCGGGTCAGGCCTGACGGGGGGAGGAGAGCAGGCGAGTGGGTGGCAGCCAGGGCACCCTGCGCCCAGCGGCAGCAGCTCTGCAGTGACCTGCAGAGAGCGCCCTCCTCAGCCACAGCGAGGTGCGCTGAGCCACAGTAGCTCTGTTGAGGGGTCAGGTCTGACCCAGCGATGGACAGCAGGAGAGTCAGCAGCAATGCTGTTACCCACCCTCCTTGGCTGCGAGGCACCTTGCGCCCGGCTGCAGTAGCTCCACTACCGGGTCACGTTTGACTTGGCAGCAGAGAGCATCTCACATCAGCCCCAGCAAGGTGCACCCGTCCCCAGCAGCTCTGCCTCCATGGCCGAGTCAGGCCTGACCCAGTGGCAGAGAGCAGGGAGGGAGTGGGCAGCAGCTTCCCTGCCCCTCTCCTACCCTGAACTGTGGCACGCAGGCGGGTGCCCTCTATGCCCTGCCCCCCTTGGGGCTCCACTGCTGTACTGGAAACCTGATAGTAGACAGATACACTCACACACACCCTAACAGATGGCTTGCCACCCTTCATCTGAATATCACAGGGCGGTTCACAAATAAAAATACAAAATGACAATACAAAATAAATAACAAAACAAAAACAAGCCAATAACCCTGCTCCCACGAACACATTTAAAAGGCCCTAGAATGTTAATAAGATGAATGCCTGGTTAAAGATAAATATTTTTGCCTGGCACCTGAAGATATGTAATGAAGGCACCAGGCGAACCTTATCACTAGGCAGGCAGCCCTGCTGGCAAGCGAGGGCAACTTTGTTTGAGATTGCATCAGCATTGCACAAGGGATACTCCTCCTACCTTTGCCCCCATGCCTTCAGTTTGCACAAGATAAACATGACCTCAAGAGTCTCCATGACACCATCCTCATGCAACAGCAGAGGAAAATTGCTCACAGTTTGCTGAAGCTCTTAGAAATAGAAGATGTGGCAGACCACACTATATTGCGTAGGGAGGGATGTCATGCTGAGGCTCGGCTCCTCTTCTGCAGATACGTTCACTGCACTTAAACATCTGCTGTGCTGATGGCTCTTTTGCTCATGCCAGAGGTTTCTGTTTCTAGTGAAACCAAAGGTCTGGAGGTGGAAGCCATGGGGTAGCCCAGGGGTAGGCAACCTAAGGCCTGGGGGCCGGATGTGGCCCAATCACCTTCTCAATCCAGCCCGCGGACAGTCCAAGAATCAGCGCGTTTTTGCATGAGTAGAATGTGTGCTTTTATTTAAAATGCATCTCTGGGTTATTTGTGGGCCATAGGAATTCGTTCAAAATTTTTTCAAAATATAGTCCGGCCCACCACATGGTCTGAGGGACGGTGGACCAGCCCACGGCTGAAAAAGGTTGCTGACCCCTGGGCAAGCCATTTGCATTTGAGAAATTTGCCCATGCAAGATTAGAGATTAGCCTGGGTTCTGCCAGTCCTGGTACTGTGAAGGCAGCAGAAATTCAGCTTTCCTTGGTGAATGATTTAGATTGTTTTTGTCAGCATGGAGGACACCCAGCTGCCACATTCCAGCCTCTCACACGCCACCAAGGAGTGGTGACTGCATTTGAGGCACCTTTGCCTTGTTAGAGAACTTAATGCCATGCCATTATAAAATCACAGGAATAGGTGCATCTAAACATATACATGTCCAGAAAACAGCCAACTCCCTGCATGTAACTACAGGTAATACAATAGGAACCCTTCTGCAAATGGCCTTGGCCTATGCAACATAACTCAGTTATATGGTAACAAAGTATCCAGGTGTGTCTATTTACAGTGGATATTTTCACTTAGCCTTATTTCTCTATGAATCAACCAATTTCTTGATGAAATATACCTTTCACCAGTGTCATAAGAACACTAAGGTATCAAATATAAAATAAATGTTCATAAATGCACAAGGTAAACACATATGTCTGAAACAGTACAGGAGAGCAATCATGAAGCTTATCTTGAATTTTAATTACCGCAAATATTTCCGCTGAGGAAGGAAATATATTGGAGAAACCTTTCCCAGTAGTTCTTTTCCCTTACAAATCCTGTCAAGGGCATATCTGTGTATGAATAGGGTGGGCCTGTGACCTGGATTCAAGAACTAAAGTATTTACCATCTCAGAAGAATGGTCAGGCTGCTGCCCAGGTAATAAAATCAAGGAAACATTATCAGATATCCCAGCAAACAGGAGAGAAGCTAAACACTCAGATTTCTGTGATGTATGTATGATGCTTTTAGGGTGATCTTTGTTGGGCAATGTCTAAAGTCTTTAAAGGTTCCTGCGCA